CTTGTACTGCTCCATGTGCTTCCAGTGTTTCATTAGAAGAAGATTCAAAACAGGTGGAATTTTTCTCCTGCTCTGGTAACCTGTAAACCACAGCCACTTCTGTGTTTGGCAACTTGATTTGCAGCAAGACTACATTATTTACCACTTGAGATGTATGAGAAAGCTTTCTAACGACAGGTGTCAATCAAATAAATGCTTGCTATCTCCCACCTGAGCAGAAGCAACCCTACAATTTCAGCTGTGTCATTAATAAACAAGGAGCGAATGGATTTGAGAGCAATGAAAAACCCATGATCACTCATTCTGAAAGGGATGATTGTCAGTCACACCTCGATGGCATCTGCTCGCAGATATAATGAAGAGAGATTATCATTGCTGTAAATGGCTGCTGCAGCTCTGGTCAGCAAATAATAATGACATTGTCGCAGTGATCAGACCTGCCGCCCAGGGACCAACAGTGCTAAGTGGTGTCTCAGTGGTATTTTGGGCCCTCATTTATGTAATGGCAATAGAAAACTAGAAGTGCCCTTCTTTTTTATAATGTTAATTTCATGCCATTTTTTGCACTTATAAACTGAAAACTCAGTTAGTTATGACCAAAACCAGCTTACTCGTGCTCTGATGACTGAGAAGAAACAGTGAAAAACCTTTGAAGTAGAGAGCTTGTCTTGGTATGACACCCCTTTGTGAAATGTGGCTCTGTAAATATCCTCCCGTGCCTCTTTTTTGAATCCTGACAGGGGAAGGGGAGAGAGCCACTACCTGTGCCCTGTGTAAGTGTAGAAAAGAAAAATATTTCCACTAAGGAAATTGAGTTCTAGCACCTCTGATTAGGTTGGACTCTTCCTGCTAGTGACTGATGGGACTTGTATGCAGAATCCCTCTGCGCCTGTCCTTCCTTGCCTTAACTTATGACTGCAATTAAAGGTGATTGAAAGGTGTAGATAAATGGCATCATCTGGACCAACCCAGTTCTGCTGGTGCATAGCTAAAGTGAGGAGGAACAGGACATCAAGACATGTTTCTCTTTTATGAATCCAATCAAGCATCCCCAGAGCGGCCTCGTTTAGCTGGCTGCTGCACCATCCTGAGTAGGATGGCTTAGGAAGTGGACTGAAAAATATAAAAGGTGCCATAGCAAGAAAAGCTTCTGTCTTTTGTATTTTCTTAACAGCCTTAAATTTCTGTTGTGTTTGCAGGTAACACAATGCAGCATTAATACATTTACCTGCTCTTATATCAGACAGGTGCAAACATTCTGAATTTTGCTTTGGATTCCTTGCATTGCACGGGAAGCATATTCCATCCCACTCAGTCCAGAACAAAGAGCTAAATCTTGCTGAAATGATCAGTCCCCAGGGGCTTGAGGCTATTCCCTCTAATGTACATATAAAAATCAGTCATACCAGCTGCAGATGAAATCATAGATGAAATCTTACTAATTAATTGCATGAACTTTGTTTCTGCCTGGTTTGAGATTCTCTCAGCCTTGCATAAATATCTGGGCACCCATACTGTACACCTCAACAAGGCTGTTGATTTTCCAAGGAGGACTATCAATTTCTGCTCCTGAACTAGCCACACAATTACTCCCGCTCACACGGTCTCAGGGTAACAAAATGGTTTCTGAAAAGTGGTTTGTTTGCAAGTGATTGAAAAGTCACCCTATGTTGTTCTGCCAAGTTAGGTGCTGATTCAGGTTTATGACCGTATCATTAATATTTTAGTACCGCATCAGTAACTGGTTGCTATTAATATGCAGTGAAACAGTGATATAAAAAGAGAGATGTTCCCACTCATTTGGCAGAATTTGCATTACAGCTGGATGAAATTTATAACACGTCTTCTGCAACCTACTGGTCTAAACTCCTGTTATTAATTTCTGCTGTGTTTATTTCTCCTTTATGTTCACTTTGGGCAATATTCTATCAAGTTTCCTGGCAGGCACAACAGTAGATTTAGCTAATTTCAGCTGACTGCAGGAGGACTTTGTAGAAAGTGAATTTTGAATTAGCACTAGTATTTGCAGCAAAAATCTCCCCCTGAGAAGTCTATTCCCCTCAGCCTAGCGTCAGCAGCGCTTAAGTTCATGTGAATAGCCGTATTGACTTCGGGTGGGCAGCTGTTTAATTACCTTCCTGAATCGAGGCCAGGACCAGAAAACAAGCCCCCAGCAGACGACCTGGGTGCCTCGCCTAAGTGCTTGTCTCCTGAAAGCTGAGCTCCTGTGAGCGACCCATGGATTGTTTGAGCAGGTAATTTGGCAACTACTTTTCGGTTCAGAATAAATTTGAGGAAATCATTATTTGATGCGCAAAGAGAGGTGAAATTTGTGCAGTACGTTTTTCACGATGAGGCAGCTATTGCCCAGATTTATTCAGCCTGCCTGCCTCTTCCTGTTCCAGTGCTCCCAGCAATCTCATTTTCCCCCACGTTTTATTTAGGAGCTCTGAACTGACAAGTCTCCTGCCTTTCTTCTGGGAGAGCGGTGTGCTGTATGCAGCATGCTGTATACGGGTGGAGGAGGATAAAGAATGACATGCTATTCTTACTGTTCTGTACGCTACAACTATTTTTTATTTTCAGATCCGCATCTGCTCTTGTCCCTCCTCTGTTCTCAGATCACTCTTTGGCTTCCCTTAGGAATCCAGCTGTGTCATCACATTGTGTGGCATCCTAATATTTCATACTAAGCTGTAAGCCAATTAGGAATGACTACTTACCATGCTGAATCATAGGAAGAGAAAAGGATAATGTGTCCTTCATATAACGAACCGCCTCTTTTTTGTCAAGACAGATAACCTACACGTTATATTTATAAGCCCTTTAGCTTTTTGCTATACCCAATTAGGATGCAGCTTCCTTTCACACTGCTGCAGTATTTTAAGGGACTTGTTTACAGATGGATGCTTACTGAAAGTGCTGACCTGCTACCATTATACCTCATGCCACCTTTCATCTTCAGAGACTGAAGCACTGGGCAAAACTTGATGTTGTAATCACCTTTAACTGGATGAGAACACGGGTACAACAAAATATAAATACCTTGTCCTGAGTTCCCAAATGAAATGGTGACCTGGATAAGGGTGTAAACGTTACTACAAGCCACCCAGGTTTGTTGGAGATGTTGATTAAAGTCAAACTGTAAAATAAAGCGTGTTACATCTAGAAGGAAGATGGATGAGCCAGTGGTGTGGGTATTTGCCTGAGGTTGTGAAGAGGCACTTGGAGGATTGGTGTATTTGGGAGTGTGTGAAATGTTTAGTAATGAGTATCAAAGAGAAAGATATTAAAATTTATTTCCCATGCTGAAGTAATTAATGGGCCATTAATGCCAGGTGTCTAAGCTGCCTGGAGGTCTGGGATAAGTAGCATTATAGCAGAAGATGCAAAATATGACTTAGGATTAAATGGAAGGATCTTAATTCTTGCAGAGCGCTTAGCATGCCCCCCTTCCTTAAATTGTTCTTTCTTTTCCTAAGTTGCTAAGAAGCTATTGATAGTATTTATTGTGTGGGAAGAGAAGTACTCCTTTACATTTGTCTTTGGATCCTAGTGGTGTTGCAAACTGAAGGCTCCCATAACCTGTGCCTGACCCCTGCATCTTTCATATCTTGTCTGATCTCGTTAGGCTTCACTGCAACGCATGCAGGGCAGCACCCTCACACTGCAGAGGCCAGTCCACCACCACCCCTTGGGCAGTGGGTTTTACATACAAAGTCACGTTAAGGACTACATTCAGATAACAGCCCTGGCTGTGGATACATCCAAGCAGAAAGGGCGGTCTCAGATTCAGCTTCCCTTGCAAACCAAGCACCTTGCAAACCAAGCCCAGTCATTTTTGTTGTTTCTACTGCTAATGGCTACTAATAGAGATTGCAGTTAAACTAGAGGAGCCTCAGGGTTAAGGCTTCTTCAGCAAGACTTGGCCATTCGTTATTAGGGTTCAATTTGCTGCTTCACTGATCGCATCCCCTTGCTTTCCCTCCCAAATACCTCTGGGACAAACAAGTTTTCCCTCAACCTGCCAGGAGAGCAGTGGGGAGTCACAGCACCGACAGCTGTGGCTGAAAGCATAGATGCCAGCAGCTGTGGGCCATCAGGGAGGTCCTGCCCTGCTTTGCAATGTAAGTGATCCCACCTGTGCTCAGCAAGTTTGAGGGCTCAGAGCATCGTGATGAGTTCTGGTAGAAAGAGCTAAGGAAGTTAGGGTGTAAAAGCTTCTACAAGAGGAGGACAAGAGCTTAAGGTACTTTTCTCATTAAGGGGAATCTTTGGGAAGCTGAAGGGTAGTTCTGCTGAAAAGGTTTTGCATTTTATCTGAAGTGATGCTTCCTTTATAAATGATGTGGTTTTGAAACCTTTTGACCTTCAAGAGAAAATGTTCTGTTTAGGAGCTGTAGCTTTTTGTGTAATTCAAAAATGTCTCAGTTAATCACTGCTAAGGACCTTGTTGGTGTGTGTCACAAATTTTTTTATTTTTTATTTTTTTTAAGTGCAGCACATATATAATTCATGTAGCTCTTCTCTTTGTAGATAAGGACTTGTCTCAAATGTCAGGGTGGGAGAGGGGGAAAAGGATACCTGACCCAGAGGGCAGAAATATTGAATGCACTGGTGTTGGACTTGATGTTTCCCTAGAATTCGCTGAGATAATATCCATCTCAGGGAGCCTTGCTTACACAGCTACAGAGCTGTTGCATTTAATATATATTTCCAAAGGAATTTCATAGTAATTGAGCATTAAATGATGTCGACTTATCATAAAGCGTTACCATTTTCATTAAAAATTATAAATGTGCTTCAACAGAACAGAATATACCAGAATCATAGCACCATCTCTATTAGTCTTTATGCTGTACTTGTCATTGACTGCCTTTACTGTATTATTTCTAGACAGCGTTCATAATGTTCTCAGCTGAACAAATGAAGATTTGTGAGCGAAGGAAAGCACTGACTGGATTATGTAGTGCCACTGATTTTTACTCTCCTTGTTTCAGAGAACATGCTTAAGAATCATGCTGACACTGTGGTGGGCCTTCATAGAACTTCGAGGAGCTGGTGTGACTTGGATGGCAGCTGTTCTGGTGCTGCTCTGCTGTATGAGAAATCCTGTCTTGTGAGAAGGAGATGTCAGAGCTGCCCTTGGCACGAAGCTGCTGGGTGTCCAGGTAGGAGCCATGCTGTGTGGGTTTGGGGGTCTTCGTGCAGCTCAGGTTGGAGTAACCGTGCAAATCAATTTCTGCAAAAGTGAAAATCTGCATCTTTTTCCATAACATTTCTCAGAAAGATGATGGCAAATATTGATGTTTCCATTCTATAGGTAGTGGCTATTGAAGCACCTTCACACATAGCCTCTCTTTGCTGAGGCTTTCAAAGCTTTTCGAGCTTGAAGAGCAAAAATTTAAGTGAACAGTGACTTTTCTTTTGCCTAGTTTGTGTGGAATGTTGTGTATTAAAATTTCCTGTAAGATAGATTTGCTGTAAAATACTTCATAAACTTGAAAAAGAGTAAGATTTTTAATTTTTTTTTTTCAATTCTATTAATTCAGTCCTCTCAAGGCAGCTCCCAAGAGTTAGGTGTTATGGCAGAAATGATCTTAAAGAACATCGGTGTTCCATTTTATTGTCATTAAACTGCTAACAGAAGTAATGGAAAGACTAATTACTTTTCAGTATGTTCTTGTGGCTTGTATTAAATGATATGTGTGGGCTATGAATACAGGACTTCCTATCCTTAGCTGATTCAGTCAGGTCTGGTATGGCATAGTATTTACTTCTTGAGTGCCTGTATCTTTTATTGGATCTCAATGCATCATCTGACTGAGATCTGTTTTTTTAATTAGCAGGCTTTACAGTAGCCTGTTTGTCTCACCTGTGTTATCTCTAGAAACACAGCCCCGTGGGAAGAAAGCCAGGAATGCTTAAGACCTTGTAGAAAGTATTAGCTGTTGTTTGGGTACCAGGAAGAAGCGAACAAATCCTCTGAGATCAGTCTATAAGATTTTGGGAATTCCCTTCTCTCTATGCTTAATCTTTGTTTGAATAAAGCAATTGTTAAGTTTTCCCATGCATCAGAACTCACCAAATTTAATGTATTTGTATTTCTGACAAATGCAAGTAAGTTTGGGTACCAAAGGAGCCATACCCTTGCCTTTATTATTTATGAATGCAGGCACTGCTCGCACAGCTTCTGCTTGTTCTAAAAACATTAAATGGCCTATGTGTTCAGGTTTGTCTATGAAGGGACAGAAATTACACACTTTCACTTCACAGATGAAACTTTTAACATAGCTGTGATGGAAATGATTTCCTGGGGACTTGCAGGATGCTACCTTTGCTCTGTGAGACTGTGTGATGGCAAAGCCCCAGCTATCAGCTGTTAATCCCAATGCGTCTTACAAGACACTTTCTATCTCCTCCTGCAATGTTAATGCAGCTGGAATTCCATAAATCAAGTCTCAGCAGTAAAAAGGTTAATAAGTTTACACTATCTAATTGAAAGCCATATTGGTGATTAAAAGGATTTTATATATCAGTTTTCTGGGTCACCAGCTAATTATTTTTGGTGGCCTGTAATAAAACATAGCACCATAGGCAGATAGAGGCTGTAATCACATAATATATGGTAAAATGCATTTACATTTATTTGAGATGAAGTTGCCTATGCCAGCTTGTTGAATAGTCTTTGAGATCTTTGTTCCTTACTTCAGGGACAGTGGAAGAGCTGAATGCTCCACATGCTTGGTTAAGTTTGTACAGAGTTACTGGGTTGAGTTTTGGGGTCTGGTGCTTTTTCTCCAGAGCTAAGCTCAAGGGAATCAGCTGTTACCTGTGATGGAGAAGTTCTGCTGAGGCACTGGGGATCAGATTGCTATTGTAATTCATTTTAATGCATTCTGCGTGTCCTAATCATTTATTGGAACAAGAACTTCTGTAGCAGGGACATGGCTAGTAAGAGAGAGAGTGACAATTAATAACTCTTGAATAGAAAGGACAGCTAAAAAAACCTGTTCGAGGGGCAGATGTGTGCACAAGGGATTGGGAATGCAAAGTTAGAAAGGAAAAAGGGAACTCCAAGCATGCACTGAAATTTCTACAATTCTAATAGGCTGCAATACCCCTTATAATTAAACACCCAGATACAGGGACACTTCAAACTGAGACCTTTGTTTTGCAGGTTGTGCTTTTTAGCATGTTTGTCTGATTGAGGAGGAGCTAACAGTGATGCTGGGTGTGCACGTTGGTTTGCAGGTTGGTGCTGCACAGGGTCTGCGTGCGCACAAATAGGTCGAAGGCTCCTTTCTCAGCCCCTGAAGACTCCCTAGGTCCTGTGTGAGGCACCACTACCCCTGTGGCTATAAAACAGTCTGCTGCTGATCTCGGTTGTTCTGTCTGTAATACAAGGGGCAAACTGCATCTGGTGAACAAGGGTGCAGTGAGTGTTGGGCATGCCCGTCCCACCAGTGAGGCAAGGGTTGAGATGTGATCAGCAAAAATGGTACCAGAGTGCAAATCATTGCTGGACAATGCTTGCAGGGCCACCTGGGGAAGAGGACCTCCTGTGGCAAATCTATTTCTGTCATATTACATAGATTGGCTGCATTTTTTTCATTGGCTAATTATTAATCCTTAAATGCTCTTTGCATGGAAACGAAGTGCCATGAAATTACACTGTGGTGAGTGAAGATTTAAGGCATTTGTCCCTAAGATTATTTACTTGTCGTGTTCTCCTGTATCTAAATAAGAGCTTGTCCATACCAAAAATAACATTTTTAAGTACTTAAGTGTTTCCTTGCAAGATAGCTAAGGGGATATTCAGTTTTAAACACGGGCTGGGGAGGTTAAAAGGAGAATGGCAGTTGTGTGAGTAATGGCGTGTGAGTCAGCTGCTGAACTTGACATTGCAACCTCTGTGTCACCACCGAGTCAGGAGGCATTTGTGTGACAGTTTGAGGGTAAAGACATAAAAAATAAACTGTCAGTTTCCACTGGTAGAAGGGCATATCTGAGATTTCTGAACAAAGGCTGAGAAGGTGAAAAGTTAAGCAGTAATAGTGTAAATGAGGGAAGAGGGGCTGCGTGTTTCCTAGGTGGATGTGATGCATCAGGTGTGTTCATCTGAAGCTCAGGAAGAGCACTCTGGCTGAGCCTGGCTGCTGGTGGGGCTGCTGGGCCCTTGCTGAGTGAGCCCCTCAGCCAGTGCTCTTTGCTGCTTTCCTTGGGTAGATTTATTGAACAATCTGGGGCTAAGAAGGAGCCAAATATCGCATTGCAATCTGCTATTGTTGCAGAATTTCTCACCTTTCTGTCACTTTGTTCAGTCTCTCTCTTTGGGGAACTTTTGGTCACCAGATTAGTAATAACACAGTTGTTATTTTCTTGCACATAAACAGCAGCAGAAAGTGTGGAGTCTCATTTCAGCATCTAGATGCTTGAGGATGACTTTGTTAATGGATCATTAACCGAGGGAAAAGGATCGTGAGGTGCTTCAGACAAAGCCTACTGGCAAGATAGTGCTTGGGAAGAAAGGGATTGCACAATGGGAAAGGATTTCTGCCCCTCATGCTGTTAATCAAGTTCTTCTGAATAACAACATCGTAGTGATATTTAAACAAAGGGAAATAATGCGTTCCCCATAAGCGTTGCTGTTCTGTAGCACTGTTAGATATATAAATGAAAAGAAATTCAAGCAGCTGCTGCGTATGGTTCATTCCTTGGGACATGCATTTAATGGTGGACTCTGGATAGAGCTTCTACCCTATGTGGTAGCATAGGCAAGACAGGGAAGGGTCCTGAGCACTGCTCTGTACTGCCCTAGAATCAGAGGTCAGGCCTGTAGTGAGGCCTCCAGTACTCCTTGTCTCTGAAATCCTTTCACTTCATGCCTTATTGCATAAGTTCAGTACCCTTTACAGCTGAAGCCCTCCCGAGCACTTAGCTCTTCAAACTCCCTACTCAGCAGGTGGCTTATTTAAATGTGGCTGTTGTGCTGGCTAGTGGCCAGAAGTGAGTGGCTCCGTGTGTGAACTGCAGTGTTTGGGTCCAGTTCTGCTCGTGTCTATGCCAGCAAAATCCTCCTGGCTCCAGCAGGGTTGTGCAGGGTACAAGTGAGTGCAGTGTAGGGCTGTCTGCTCAACTGTTTGTCAAATAAATCTATGGCCAATCATTTGCATTATGTCAGCTAAACATTTGCCTAGCACTCTAGCATGTGTGAGGCAATGAGGAATTCTGGATTGTTTGAAATGAAAACTGTCGTTGTCAGCTCTCACTTAACCAAGAAGCATTTCTTCCGTAGCGTGTAAATAACTTATTTTGAAACCCGTGGCCTTGAAGAGGAAATGTAAAGTTTCTCTAAACATTCAGTACAAATAGGGACATTAGCTGCTTAACTGATTTTTCAAAATTCAGATCTTTATGGCTGAACAAATGAGAGGGAAGGAAAGCACATGGTTTAAATTAAATATATGGAAAATAACTGCTAATGAAAGAAATATATTTTAAAAGTAAGCAAACCTGTTTTATCTGCCTCTCCATTAAGTGTGTCAGGAAAGGGTCTTTACAGCTAGGTGGTAATTAGAGAGGAAAAAGCAGTGCTGGCAGAACAGTCAATCTATCACATCCTGCAAAGCCTAAATGTTACTGCAATTAAACAAGTTAGTAGGGGAAAAACTTGACAAGCAAGTTTTATCATTGAATCATCTTGGTGGCAAAGCACACAGGGTGCTCTTGTTAGATTCCCTCATGCAACACCAAAGATTTAAATTATAAACCCATGAAAGCACATTCAGACTGAAGTGACTATTTTCTTTCCCAGGCTATCCAGGCGCGTGGAAGATTAGAATACTAAAAATAAAACAACCTTTCCCACCTCCCCCTTCCTCACCCCTCCGAAGTCAAATCTGTCCAGGTTGACTGCTCCATTAAATTCAAGAACAAAAAGTTATAAATTGAACATACGGAGAGCAGTGCCTTTTCTTAAAGTGATGTTTCCTCGCCTTAATGGATTTAGCTATGGCAGGGAGTCAGAGAGAAGCTGTCTTAACTAAATCTTTGACTGATTATGCATTTTTTTTTTCTATTCATACAAGATAGATTCATCATTCCAATTTGTCAAGTTGGCGAAGTTCCAATTAATTACACCAGGAAAAGCTCAAGCTGCATTAGGCCT